AAGAAATGACCCAGTTTCAACTACAGTTTGTAAATGTCACGTGTGGTAAAGGTGAAAACATTTTCTTCTGAGCGACGCTGGTGCGCTTTGCTGCGCTTCCATGTTCAGCGTGCGTAAAATCGGTTAACAAGGCTGATAAAGCAGCAACGCAAAGCCTTTTCGTTCAGTAAACGAGAATTATCTTTGCATTAACTGTGCATTTAATGCACAATAGCCGTCTTGTGAGTGCAAACGGCTTGGACGTAAAGACTGCGTAAATGGTCTCTCCAAGTATCTACTCTATTTTTTGTCCATTGTTAAGAGGATACATCTACTTGAACGAATCTTTGAAATAGACGATCCTTACGCTCTGCGGCCATGGTCATGATGGTCTCTGTGGTGGCATGTTCATCATCCTCTTCCATAACTCCATCCTTACTGTCATCCCCCAGAACATCGTACTGATCCAGAAGTTGTTGCAAAGGCGGTGCTTTGGGTAACAGCTGCTTGACCACGTCCCGGCTAATATTTGGAGCCTGTTTGAGTCGGAGCTTGCTAAGAATTTGGGACTTGATGGCATGCAGTCTCATCAGCTTGCTGTGTTGTCTGAACTCACATGTGGAACACTGCTCGCTTTCCTCCGTGGCTGTGGAAGGCTGCTGGTGCGCCGTTATATCTCCATGACCCACTGAACCGCATGCAATTAATACACTTAGAGAAATTAAAACCTGTGTAAAATGCATGTTCCAAAGCGTGCTAAAGGATGTTTGATCAGATTTGCTATGGAAATGAACCTCACCACGCACCGGACAAGTAGATGTCATGCTTAAATTCGACAAGGCTTTTTATACTGCAACTTTGGTCACTCTATTGTGTCGTAAGATTCAATGATTGGCTGAGCTGGCAACAATAAATCTAATGGACAGAGCTGGACTTCTTTCGCAGTTCTTAAAGAGGCATGGCACATCTTAGAGGACTCGTGAAGGAATTAGCCGAACTTGAATACAAATTATGCACAAGCATATGAAAAACACGCACATTTCTTATAACATTTCAGTGCGTGCATCTAGGCTACTCACTATCCAAACGCATCTGACGCATAATGTAAGGCTACATGTGACATTTATTTCAAAGACATTTATGTCTTTTGTGGCATTCGTTTTCCCTATGTCCTATTTTTATGTGGTAGTTTTTTGAAAAAGAGGTATTTGGATAGGCTAATATTCACGTAGCTTTTGTCAATGCAACGGAATTCAATTTCACAAGGTATGTAAAGTTTTAAACGTAAGAAATTGAATAAGCACAATTCATCTTATTTGTTGAACAGTCTCATAGCTGCAGCTTCTTCAGTTTTTTTGACCCGTGGGTAAGAGACGTAGCGCCATCTTATGGTACAACTTGTGTAACGCAGGTGAGGTATATCCCTGACCTCTTTTTATTCAAATATCTGTACTTTCGCACAGTTATTAGTAAAATGATACATATAAGGATAGTAAACGCGGAAATATAATAAATAAAAATATAAACAAAATAACATGGAACTTCTAGTATACATTAGAAATTATAATTGTGTTATGGAGAGAAAATAAGTCCTTTAGTAGGAATACTTGATTCTGATTGGCCAATTGATTATAGCTCAAATGTAGAACTGACTGTTGTAGATGGCAACCGATTTCCCTCGCACTGCTCTGCATTCTCATTCTTACATAATATAATTTCAACAAATCAATATTTCATGTCCATTTATTTATTTGGCAAGTAGCCGTATAAGCAGGATAATGCGCAGTCATCCGGTCGTTACTGCAAAATAAACACTTTCATGGCCACACAAGACTCTGTTTGGAGTATGGGAACATTTTGCGATAATGAGCTGATGACAGGGCATTATCCCTTACTTAACATCACTTATATCTTCGGTTCAATTTAATAATGTGAAGATAAAAAGGGAAGAATCGAAGATTCGAAGCGGAATGTCTGCGCGGAACAGAAATCTTTATCGATTAAGTTCTAATGGATTTAGGATAATGCCTAACACAATATACAAAGATCTAGCTTGAAATTATTGTGTTTGTTTGATAGTTTTCAATGTAGTGTAACTCGTAGAGTGTGAACAGTTATTTTGTTTTTAAAAAGGCACCCCTAGCACAGTTAAACGTCGCGCTTCCTAAAATCGTTGGTTATAGATTTGTGGTATACTTATAACATGTAAATTTGTAATAAAATCTTAAATGGGCTAATGACAATAAGCCTAGCGGACTGTCTAAGAATGGAAGCTGTTGCTATAGTTACTACGCAAGCGAACGCGACTTCGCGATTTCCTAGTCTTCGTAAATCCGGTTTTAACAGCGGTTTTCACCGTGGGTCGTGGAAAAAAAATCTAAAATTCAGTTAACATTTTTTGGTAAGCATAAAGACTCAAAACTCAATTTACCAATCTGTCAAAACCTTCACGAAATTAACTATTGAATCACACTTTTGTTAACACAAACTATTCTCTCTCTGTATATACTGTATGACAAGAAAACAAATGCGTTTATTTCCTCATATTTCACTATAAAATGTGTCTGGCGGGAGATAGATTATACCTCTCTAGGGTGTCCAATTGTGAAAAAGTTTGGGAACCCCTCTGTTAGAAATGTTTGTTTGTAGTATTATTGAAAACAGTCATTCCACTAGGTGGCGACATTGTATTTAAAAACACACTGAGGCGCAACCTGTGTCTGCGTGTGTTGCAGTAACCTTTCACCCAGTTTACAAACAAATGTTTAGGCAAGGATAGCATGAACTATGTGTGCCCGTGAATAGAAACACGAAGAATTTCCAAGCTGCGAATTCAGTCATATAGATGGCCATGTTTGAATGGACAGAGAGAAATGCAAAAACAACACGGATTAATACGCTGTTGAGCCGCATCGCTGTCCTGTTTTTGGAATGAAACTGAAACGTTATCATTATATGTGGACTCCGGACGCACATGCTGAATTCTGACCCGACTTACCCTACAAGAGCAAGTTCATCAACGTGCTTTCTCATTCTCCTGTGGAGTAGCCTAACCGAGACTGGTGTGGAGGAGGAAGCTTCTGCCTGTTAATACTGTGGATTTATATCAGTTTTCAATTTAAATAACGCATTCCGCTTTGGATGAGATGACTCCTTCGATTGTTATATGCATAATATTGACGCTCACAGCCTGCAGTCCGAATAGGTATGTACCCACACTGATTATATCTGCACTTTTAGCATTACATTATAAAAACAGATCATCGTGCATTTTATACAATCAGGAATAACATTTTGCCTTGACCTTGAGGCTTTCTTGACACAAATACGAGGATGGAATTTACTCGAAAAACGACAGAACTGGAATTTTAATCTCGTTCTTCCTGACTATAACATTGCATTTCAACCAGGATATAATTTATCATGATGTTATTAAATTGTTGATCACTTCAGATTTCCAGACAGTGACTGTCGGGTGTCTTTGACTGCTGTGCATGATGTACCTATACAACGGGTTTGCGTATCAGGCAAAGAGAATATATTGCCAAGAGTAATAATATTACCGCTAAAATATTAACAAACGCCTAATAATAACATTTTCGCACCTAAAAGAGCTTGTAGATCTAGAATACGCAGAATCAACACATTTATATTCTTAAAAGAGACATTATCGATGTGTGTATCTGTGCAGCAAAAGGAGTGAACCACCGGCTTTCGTTGTGAGAAGTCTGTTAGTTATTAGCTGTCCGCAGGAGCAGCACGATACAAATATTGATAGCGACGTCCGAATCGTGAACGAATCGTTATTTTGAAACGGATCATTTGAATGATTAGTGTGAACGATGCGTTTGAAAATCGAACTGAATCAGTCCGAGCGGTTCTCGAGTCCAAAGGACATCGTTTCGCACTGAATCAGATTCGGAGTGAGCCCAGAGCTGATGGAAGAGTAGGCTACTTTTGTGTGAACCAAATGAACCGATGACATTGATGAGGCTAAAAGCAGATTTAAATTTGGCAGAAATTTTACAAATAAAAAAACATTACATACGCGTTTGATATACGCCTTATGATATACATAAGAGTTTGTTTTTAAAGTATTTTATTAACACGTAAAGAATAAAGAAAATTCAGGAAGTAGATCTGGAATATTGTTTCATGTAAATACAAATTATATTTAGCTTTTAAATTGTTATAATCTGAATCTGAACTGGGATAAAAACGCTTATAAATAGAAAACCCACAATGAACAGCATTATGTACCTACATATAAATGGAACTATCAGAGCATGTCATGTCCTTGCCATCCCTAATAAATACCATATCTAGTTGACTTATAGCCTACTACTGGCTTCAGCCAATTAAAGCACATGCAGTTATTTTTTCTTCATACTGCCTCATAAGGAAATCCTCATTCCTGTGAAGATGTAGTCATTATGGTGTCATGGACAAGGTTGCCAAGACACTGAAAATAGTCATCATGAAAATATATATTTAGCCACGCAAAGACAAGCAATAACTCACAATAACCATTCCTCTTCTTCACACAGGGCAAGTGTGAGGTGGCCATGAGAATGCTATACATCATGGCAGACCATCTGGAGTGTCTCAGCTACACTTTGCACAGAAGTACGTCCTCATCCTAGCTTCTTATCCGTACATCACGAAACCCAACCAAGGGAATATAACCTTGGTATCACGCCATCTTTGCATCTCTTCCCCTCACTGCTTTCAAACCAATGTTACATTATTTATATCATGGGATGCATGAAATCCAAGCACCACGACCCCACTCAGAACTCCAGCTCATCGGAGAAAGTGGATGGCAAGCCAGGAAAGCAAGGAGAGAAAGCAGTTCTAGTTTTCTCAGAGATCGGCTCAGTGGAGGACCCAGGACGGGTCAATCCGGTGCTGCTGGACTATGCCCAGAGACTCTCAGAGGAAATTGTGGCCCGGGCAGTACAACAATGGGCTGAGGTGGACAGTCGGTACATTGACATCCCCTACATTGAGTGTGACGTGCCATAACGTTTCAGCCAGATGGAATAAGATTGAATTGGTCTGGCTCTCCTTTATGTAAAGGAGAGCTTTCAGATGAACAAATTCAGGCTAGTGGAGGATCATGTCATTTTAGGAAGTTGTTCTTTTTATACCCATAAGGATTCACATGATATATTCAACCATTTTTTTGTTTTTACACATTAAAAGTCTTAATTTAGGGGCCTGTTTTCTTAACAAAGGGCCATGAAGCTGTTAAATCACAAGACTGCATCTTTTTATGTCTCTTGTTTACCCTCAAAGTCCAGTCGTTTAATTAGTCTCTGCAATTGTCCAAAGGCCACAATCATCCCAACCATGTTTAGTATAGACTCCATCTTTTTGCCTTTAGTATTTTCATGTTCATGTGGCTCAGCACATCAGACAGTACCTTATTTTATTTTCCATCCATCCATCGTTCTTGGTCACATTAGTGAAATTTCACTGGCAAAAAAGGTCCATTGGCAGTAGTGTAGCAACGATTTTCAAACCAAGAATCTTTGTTGGTGAACACTTGAGAAATTCAAGCGACTAACTCAAACCTATTGCAAAATCTGTGGGGGAAATCTTTCGCCCTTGTGCAAAATTCCTGATCACATTGATTCCTATTGAAATTATTGTATTTTTCCTGTGAAAATTAATTGAATAACGGGAAATGTGACCGCATATTTAGAGAACGTCCACTCAGGGGTCACGGTTTCTCTAGTGTTGGATTCTAGGGATCAATAAGTGTACATTACTTCATTGCTAACCTTTTTTTGACATGACAGCCCTGTTGACTGGAATTCCTGGTACAGACAACCTTGTGGTCACTATGGCCATATGTTGTTTGTACATGATACATGGATTCTTAAATTTAAAGATTACAGAAGATCTTAATCATCCTGCATCCTTATGATGCAATGAGAAAATACATTCAAAAGAGGATTCCCAAACTTTGTGCATTCAGCCATTAAATAATTTTGTTTATTGAAGATTTTCTTCTGTGCAGCTCAAATATGCAATTCTTAAAGGCCAAAGTGTTATAAAAACAAACTTAGTGCTACCAGACTGCCAAACCCAAGGAGACACAATTCAGACAGGGGACCAAACATGCCAATGTCCTTAATGATTGTTAATACAAGCACAATTACTCTTCTGGTAGTGTTTTAACAGCGGCTCACCAATGCTTTTTATTGATGTGATATTGGCACTTCTGGGTCTTGTGCCATGTTGTCAGGTAGCCATATTCCCTTTAACGATCTTCAGATAAATAGAGCGCAGCAGTTGGGTTCTGGAAGTAAAAATCACATTCATTTTTTCCATAGAGAAATAGATTTTTAGTGATAATGTACTTTAACCTTTAAGACAGACCTACTATGAGCTCTGAGGTGGTTAAGTGATATATATATGCTTTATCACATGCCAGTGTGATTTCAACTAGGCCTACATATTAAAAAATTTAAATTTCAGAGATTACCCTCTCTCACAGTGCATTATGAATTGTGTAATCAAAAGAATTTCTCAAATAATTTATATGTTTGTGCATATCTGAATGTTTTGCAATTAACTTAATGTTTTATTTTATACTAATGTTATATTTCATTTTTATCAGTTTTATATTGTCTTATCATCACAGTCAGTCATAAAATAATTCACAGTTCAAAGTTTTGTACCTTCGCCTTGTTATTCAGATTGCCAAAACTGTTTTTGCTTCAAATCAACGGTTGATGAAGCTGTTTGTTTTGGTTTATGGCTTTAAACTCTTTACTGAAGAATTTTTTCAAATCCCCATGGAGAAAACGAATGAGAAAATTACTTCCTGAACCAAGGCCACTGAAGACGTGGGTAGTCACTGTTATGGCCTGTTGCAAAGACAATTAAGCAAGAACTGCACTTTGACCATTATGCTTTTGCGTAGAAAGTCATAAATGCAGAGCAAAATTTTAAGATATGAAAGAAGGACTTAAAGTTGTATTTTATGAGGCCTTTCAGCACATTACTTACTGTATGTGCTCAGAGTAGAACTTCAGAATATCTCAGTATCTAAAAGAACAATCAGCTCAGACTTCCCTGGTGTTCATTACTCTCATTAGTTTGCATTCTTATACTAAGGCAAATAGAACTCGATTCTATTTTGTTATATATTATATTCTTTGAAAGTGTGTAATCACTTACAACAAAAAAAAAGTACTTCAGTATAAATAAACAGCAGTCAGACCACATTTGTACCAGCTTGTACTGTCAAGCTGAGTTCTCCTAGGGTCTCCAGTCATCTCATACATGTTTGAGGAGGTGCTGATGATTCTGATCAAAATTGTTGTATTTCATATTTCAGTGTATATTTCAGACAGAAGTGATTTACCTGTAATCTGTGCAATCTCATTTCTGTAACCTAAAGAAAAGGGAAAAAACAGCTACGCCAATAAATAAACCATGGCCTTTGTCGATACCTCAACTGTTGCCTTAATTTCTTCTGTTTTATATTTTCACAACACCTAAAACAGAGACTTAAAGGGTTAGTTCACCCAAAACTTTTACTCACCCCCGAGGCATCCTAGGTGTATATGACTTTCTTCTTTCAGACGAATCCAGTCGGAGTTATATTAAAAATGGTCTTTGATCTTTCAAGCTCTATCATTGCAGTCTGTGGGTGTTGCATTGCTTCAGTCCAAAAGAAGTTAAATAAAAAATATGGCCCATCCATAAAAAAAGTGTCTCACATGGCTCCGGGGGGTGAACAATGGCCTCCTGTAGCGAATCGATGCGTTTTTGTAAGAAAAATATCCATATTCAAAACGTAATAATCACTTTAATCTAGCTTGTGCTCAACGTTGTAAACGGAAGCAGTTCCGGGGGAATGACGTATGAGGT